GATGGATGATAATGGATGGATGATAATGGATGGATGGATGGATGGATGATAATGGATGGATGGATGATAATGGATGGATGGATGGATGGATGGATGGATGGATGGATGGAAAACATCTTTAAACATCTTTCTTTGTGTGCAGGCCGCTGCGGGAGTGGGTCAGCCGGCAGAGGGGGGGGTCGGACAGCGAGGAGGAGCCCTCCAAACCTCTGGACAGGTAACCACAACCCGCCGTCCACAGGTAGACACACCTGGTGTCCTCCACCTGCTCCCCCCAAAGCCAGGGGCACCGGTTTCCAGTAGGGATGGGAATCTTCACCACCAAGGCGATACGATAACCATCTCGATACACAGCCAACGATTCCATACATTCACGATTCATGGAATTTCTAGTGATAAGATTCGATACGATTCTCCAACCTCCTGCGATCCGGTGCGATACAGACCGATCTAAATTTAAAATGCTGCGATACAGTACGATACGATACAATACAATACGATGCAATGCAGAAGAAAAGTACACCATGGACTACATAGTTCAAGTTATGGCACGCAAGCTAACTGTGGCTTTTATTTTGAAACAAAGGAAGTGCAACTTAGAGAGTGATTGTCTCTCTGAATGGAAACAGGGATGGAAAGAAACGCAACTAAAACTCAAAGACACGTTTCTAAAAAGTTATAATAATAGAAGATAATAATCGGTTTGTATCGATGCAGGTAGTTTTATACGATGCATCTCGAGTTTATGTGCGGTTTTTACCGATACAGACGTTTGCAAATCGATGCAACCGTATCGCACAGGTCGTTCCCATGTTCCCATACGCATCGGTGAATCTTGCCATGCCTAGTTTCCAGGATAATGGCAAAAAGATTCTGCCTTTATTTAGTGTCAGCGTGGGGAAATAATACAGAATCATTATCAGCCATGGAAAGACTGGTTTAGGTTTGGAACAGCTCCTAGTTATAAATGATCATTATTATTAGATATATCTTGTTAGGAGCTTTATGTGCTGTAAAATTGTACGTATATGTATATGTTTTGGGGGACTTTTAAATATGTTTGTGGGGGCTTTTAAAGCTGTTTTGGCTGATGTAAAGCTTGTTTTGAGGGGTTTAAAAGCATTTTGGGGGGTTTTAGCCAATTTGGGGGGGTTTAAAGCTGTTTTTTGTGGCTTTTAAAGCCTTTTTTATGCTTTTTAAAGCTGTTTTGGGGGCTTTAAAGCTAATTTGGGGGGGCTTTTAAAGCTGTTTTGGGGATTTTAAAGCCTTTAAAGACAGGGACCTGCTGCTCTGTAGGCCTGCTAGCTCCTTCCTCCATCTTGGGCCAGCAGCTGAAAACTGTCTGATTGTCTTAACACATCCGGAAATGACCCAGCTGGGTGCCCACCCCCCCCGATGTGACCCTCCGTGTGCTCCTCAGGTCCAAAGCCCGACACGTGGTGGGTTCTGATCCGCTCTCCGGAGAGTTTTGGGCCAAACACAAGCAGCAGAAGAGTGTGAGCCAGAATGAGCTGAACCAGGTGAACAGAAACTCAAACTAAAACTGAAACTGATTACAGACGACTATTGTCAGATTATAGTTCCATTCGGTGGGTATTTTGGACTATTCTCCATGTGTTTCTAATACAGAAATAAGATGATGTGGGGCCTTAATGTCATCCAGAGGAAAAAGTTGAGCTAAAAAAAACTAATACTCATCATTAAACGTTTAAATATTATAATATCAAAGCAGGAAAATGTCCTGTTAATACAAATAGACGTTTTCCAGCTGGACATCTGAGTCCAGCTGGAACTGAAGCTCCACCAAAAGCACCAAAGAGAGGGTCCACCTCATGTCCTCCCCGTCTTCGTCTGTAGAAATCCGGCCTGAAAAGCGGTGGGAAGAAGTTCCAGGAGTCTCCGTGTGCGAGGAAAGGAGCTGGAGACGGTGGATCCAACAGCCAGCAGGTGAAAACAGACGTCCACCCTGTTTGAAGGCCTTTTGGGGGGTTTAGGAGAAGACCAAGGCTCATTAAACAGCTCAGTGTTTTCTAATAATTTGGCTTCAGTTGCTTTTTCCTGAAGAAAAAAAAAACATGCCTCCACTCTTTAAAAAGGCTCCACTAAACGGTTTGACTCCATAAGTCTCTTTTAAAGCTCTTTTAAAAGCTTTTGTTTCATGAAAACGAAAACGTTTTAAAAGAGAAATGTGATGAATTGAAGTGGGTTTACACGCATTTCATTTACCTTTTTTTTACCAGAGAGAAGATAAAAGGCATCAACCCAGAAGATTACAAGACATTTTTGATAAAGGTAAGATTTTTATTCATGTTTATTACCTCCAACGATTTCATAAAAAATGATGATAAACTTCAAGATAACGGGGTGGGACGATGGATTTAAAACGAAAACGTTTTTTTTCATATTTATTTTTTGTTGATTTCCTGTTTATTTTGCATGTATTTGTTATAAAAACTTCATTTTTATTTTCTCACGCCGGACACAAAAGGTCGATTGGTCATTTCAAACCCTGACATATATTTATATATATTGTAAATGTTATCTATATATGTTATTTATTATTATTTATTCATGTTTATTACCTACCTAAAACAATTAAAAAAATATTTTATACACATATATTTTTATACATATAACTGTTTCCATCTCACTTGAGCAGAGCAGTGACAAAAGCTTGAATAACAAAAACTTAAGAAAACCCATTTGGCTATTTCATTTAGAATTGAATTGGATGTTAATGGCCCCTAAAGCAGCCCAGATTCCCCTCTGTGTTCACAGATGTGTCTCCAGGCTGTTCCAGCTACGGAACATCATCTGGAGGCAGAGCCCTGCAGAACCTGGCCTCCTCTGAGGCTTTCCTCAACTTCAGATTTGACAGAGATGCCATCATGAAATGCTTTGACTACTGACTCCCACCAGCCTTTGACCCAGTCGACTCTTTGTTTTACACTCCAGCTTTCTGACTTCTGGACTTGAATCCCATTCTGCCGTCACTTTGCCAAAATCCTTAAAGTTTTCCCTTCACATCCTCTGTAGATTACACAGGAATCAAAGCCCAGGACCCTCTGAGGTTAACCCACAATCCTGTAAAGCCAACACACAAACATTTAGAGGCTGAATGGACTTGACAACCCAAAAAAAAAGATAAATAATCATGAAATGAGCCCTCTGAGATGATCCTGGTTTTAATGATGAGGGTAGAGGTTAGATTTCTGAGCTCTGAAGACTATCTGGAAGTGGCTTTTAGCACAAACTACACAGGATTTTATATGGGATGTCAGTAATGTTTCATTAAATGTTCAATATTGTCATAGTATTGGTAGACAAATGTGTCCTTTTATTTTATTTTTTGTTGTTTTATTGTTCCTCTGCTGGATGGAAAACGGCTGCTAATGTCACGAGTTGAATTGATGTTTGAAAGTCCAGAAAAAGTCCAGTAAAATAGAAAATGAGTGTTCTGATGCCTATGAAACGTGACCACGAAGGGTTTTTAAATGTGTTTTAGTCACAGAAATATCTGCTTTGAATCTAAAAAGGGGAGTTTGGTGGCTTTTAAATATCAATATATGACTGTGTCTGCATTGAGGGCGATCCAAGCTTATTTATATAACTTTTTTTTAACAGCATTTATATCTTTTCCCCTAAATTGATGAGCATTTGTTTATCAAATAAAATTTGAGACCTACAAAAGGGGAAGATTCTTTAAATGTCATGTTTGCATCAGCAGATTTGTCCATTGTGTTTTATTTTCAACACAATCCACTTCCCTCTTGTTTTCTCTCCTTTCAGCAATTCTGTTGAAAGCAGAAAAAATGAGTAAAAGATCAACTAAAACTCAGTAAACTCTCAGTAAAGTTTTCCTTTCTGAAAAGGCCCCGCTGATATTTCCAATTAGCTGATCTGAAAACTACAGAAAATGTCTGTTTTCTGTTGTAAGTGTTCATTTTTTTATCATTGAAAGCAACATTTCAGTGTTTTTCTTTCTTGTGATGTTCGTTTTGAGCAATTCTTTATCACTGAATGTGGAGACGATCTTGGAAATTTCTATATAGCTTTGATGGTGTTTTTACTTGGAATGTGAATGTTAATAAAGACTGTTTTTCATTACTACTGGATACTGACCTATTGTACAAGCATCAGAATTTACTCTTAACTGAGGCCAAACTAAGTTATAGGAATTGTCTTAATTTCAGTTTCTCAGAAGTGTTAAATACTTTAAATATATCTATATTTATCAAGGTGTTTTCTATGGTCGTTCTTACTTCCCTCTTACTTTTCTATAGTCGTTCTCTATTTATTAAACTTCACAATAACAACGTAGATTTCCTCAGAGGGCATGAACCTGTGTTGATTAGGCCTCCAAATAATTAGATTAAATTCCTAATACACGTAATAGTAAAATAAAATAAAAAGTCAAAATAATTTCACAAAATACTCATTAGAAATTTCAAAATTTGATCAATTTAATACATCTTCTAAACAGTCTATTATTTATTTATTATTATCATTAATTTATTACCATAATTATTTTATTTTTTACATTATTTTTCAGTTCTCTATTAATTAAACTTCATATATGTTCAGAAGAAATGCATAAATTGTGCAAAGTATTTTTATTACACTTTTAAAATCCCCCCTCTCGCCACCAGGGGGTGCTGCAGCGCCCCCACTTCCCGCGGCTGGTCCTGCTCCGGACCCCGGACTTTTATTTTGAAATCGCCAAACCGGATGCGGCGCTGCGTTGGCGCACGTGTCTCTTCACAGAAAAGAGTTCACCTGGCGGGCAGAAAGCGGAGCAAAAGGGCTGGACAGGGAAGTCTTCGGTGCTTTCTGTACGAGGTACGTCCCCCCCCCCCCCCCGCGGCCCCTCAAGGCGGGGAGCCCCCACCCCCCCCCCCCCTCCCACCAGGGGCGACGGGCTAGCAACGGGTTGGTTGCTAGCTAGTTTTAATCACGATGTTCCTTAGCTTCTACCGGCGAGAGCAGAAGAGCTGCCGTTATATGAACATCTCCAGAGAAAAGCAGCCCTAACGGCACCGACACACCGGTGCCGGTCACTGTTTCCGGACCGGTCAGAAAATAACACGTTTAACTGGGTTGGTTTTTTAAATCTGGGTGTGAGAATAGTTATAAGTTCCCCATGTCCTAAACTTCAGAAACGCACGTGAGGGAGCGTTTTTGTGTGTCCTCCGGCCCTCATCTGGACAGGTCTGTAACTAACTTATCCTCCGGGAGCCCGGCGGAAAAAGAACTGTGACACACAGCTAACTGTGAGCTAGTAAGACTATTAGCCGCTCAGATTAGCTACAAACTTTATCAGACTCCGAAAGCTGTTTTCTCCAGCTCTAAACCCGTTTTTACTTTTTACACCGGGACTTACGAGCAGAGGAAACAAAACCACCTCATCACTGCTTTCTGTTTCACTTCAACTTCATACAAACTCATTTTTAAAAGGCTGTCTAGACAGGAAGTGTCCTCATCCTTCAAAAATAAAAGCATATTAGTTAAAATACTGTTTTTGACTTGTTTTAAACGCCATATGTCTGGACGGGGTAAAAACGTCTATGAGAATGAACATTTGATGGAAAACCTGTTGAATCTAATTTTCTGGTTTTGTTAAAGAATAAACTCAGACAGTAACTCAGGCTAAAAGCTTTAATAGCAGCAATTACTCCCTCTCTCTCTCTCTCTTGCTCCATTTCTCTCTCTCTCCCTCATTGTTCCTTGGTCTCTCCATCTCTCTCTAGCCCTCTGTCTCTCTCCCTCTATCTCTTGCCCTCTCTCTCTCCCTTTCTTGCCCTCCCTCTCTCTCTCCCTCTCTCTCTTGCCCTATCTCTCTATCCCTCTCACTTTCCCTGTTTCTCTTTCGCCCTCTCTCTCTCTCGCCCTGTGTCTTTCTCTTTCCCTCTCTCTCTCTTTCCCTCTCTCTCTCTCTCTCTCTCTCTCTTTCTCTCTCTGTTGTGATCCTGTGTGGTGGGTTGACTGGTTAAAGCTGGGAGATACCTGTTATTGTTGGGGTCTGGGTGTGTATAAATAGAGCTGATCTGAACTGGACCCTGTGTGGTGGGTGGCCCCTGGTTAACCTTTGACCTCTGTGTGGTGTGGTTGCAGACAGGCATCATGTTTGGCGCTCCGGGGGCCTCGCAGAAAGCGGGGAAGGACCAGGACCTGGCGTCCGGCCGCCCCCGCCAGGGCTCCGGTCTGAGGGAGATTCACATCGATGAGGAGGTCAAGATCGCCGTGAACCTGTCTCTGGAGAGGTTTCGCTACAGCGACCAGAAAGGTAAAAATCAGAAATATTCTTTTCATCCAACTCCTTATCCCATAAACCAGGGTGTCCCAGACAATGTTATTCGTTTGTTCTTTGTTTATTTATTTATTTTTTAATAAAACATCACAAAATTTAATGATCTCCCTAAATTCTCTTTAGGGGGAGAATTTTTTTCCCTTTTTTTCTTTTTTACATATATATAAATATATATATATATACTATTTTTATGTATGAATTTATTTTTTTTATTTTTTCAAATTGAAAAAAAACAAACATCACAAATTTTAATGAACCCCATAAATTCCCTTTGTTTTTCTTTGTCTTTTGGCCCTTTCAAAGTGCTTTTTCTTCAAATGCATGAGGTGGTTTGTTCATATAGAATCTTATTTTAAACCTACAAACACACACACACACACACACAATAAAATAACAGAAACTGAGTGAATGAAGGCCTGGACGCTGTGGGAGGATGTGCTCTAGAGGTCTAATCCAGCTCTGTTTGTCACGTCTGCCTGTATTTAAACAGAGATAGAGTTTCCTGCCTCCTTTTCCAGTACTGAGAGGGCTTTTGTCCACCGAATGGCACAGTCTCTGGGGTACATTTCAAAGAGCAAAGGGTAAGTTGTTCCACGTCTCCTCACCGTCAGAATAGAAGTTAAACCTGTCTGTTGTCTTTTTTAATGATTGGAATCGATTGGAAAGTTTGACTTCTACTTGAATTGTACTGAACTTAAGCTATAATGGAGTTGACATCTCAGAATTGAGCTTTTTTTCCGGTTCCACTCAGGCCCCGTCTCTCCGAAAAGTGACAGTGGGGAGATGTTTTCTGTCTCTCTCTCTTTCAGAAAGGGGCCGAGCCGCTACCTGACGGTCAGGAAGAAGGACGTAGCAGACAAACCGCATCCCAACATCTCCCTCACGCTCTCCCCCAGCTCCCAGTACTTCATTCGGAGTCTGGTTCAGAGGTTTCCCACCAGCAAAAAGGAGCGCACAGACATGCAGCCCAGCAGCAAAAGCAGCTCCTCCCTGGCTGCAGACCCCGGTGATTGTTTAGCATCTTTTCTGCTCATTTCTGTGAGATGTCCAGAAATATTTCAAATACAGATATGTTCCATAACATGATAACAACCATCTGTATATTATGTTATGGTACATATCTGTAAAAACTCTATTTATAGTAATATCCACCTTTATATTATATTCAGTACATATCCAGCTGTACATTTAGTTCTCAATACTAGTTATCTAAATATTATAATCATAGGACAAATCTATACAATTCTGATGATAATTCCAAAACGGCTTTAAAAGTCCCCAAAACAGCTTTAAAGACCCCAAAAACAGCTGTAAAGCCCCAAAAAACAGCTTTAAAAGCATTTAAAACAGCTTTAACCACAGATCCAGACTCCACAGCTCCAGGAACACTGGCAGGAGGTGATGGAGGAGAGGGAGTACAAGCACAGGACTAATGTGAAAGTGCCCAACCAGAAGCTCCATCAGGAAGTAAAGTGTGAAGCTCCTGTCTCTGTTTGGTCCGCAGACAGCAGCTACGACAGGAACCGGGCCAGTGGCCGTCTGAACAACGGCATTCCCATGGTGCCCAAGAGGAGGGCTCCCTCAGAGCTGGACGCCTTTCGCTGCTCTCTGCCTGTGTGTGAGCACCAGGAGGACATCATCCAGCTCATCAGGGACAACAGGGTGGTGCTGGTGGTGGGAGAGACCGGCTCCGGAAAAACTACACAGGTGGGCCCAACCATAGACAGAAACATGGACATGACGCCGCCATCTTGGATGTGGCAAAGTGGAGTTACCAGCAGCTTACAGGGCAAAACAGTGTCACACAGAGAGCAAAATACAAAACAATACAAAAATACACATTAAGTAAAGGTACACAGTAAATGTGAACAGCCAACAAAAATAAGAATATAAATACAAAGTAAAAATTAAAAAACCTTTAATCAAGCAAAAATAAACAAAGAATAAGAATATAAATACAACGTGAAAACAAAGAGTCAGCAACAAGACAGAGAACTGGTGTAGATCTCAGGGTTTTTTGTTGGCCAGCTTCTCCTAAGGCTGTAGTACTTTGGTGTCTGATGCTGTGTGACTAATTGCAAACATTTTAAATTGTCAAAATTGCAGAAATTGCATATTTTCTGTGGAAATACAGGCTGAAACGTTGTGAAGTACAAACTTCATACTGTGGAACCAAACTCTATTAATAAGTTCTTTGGCATCTTCCCTGCTGTCCCAACCCGGATATTGTTATTTATTTGATTTATTATTTTGTTTTTGTGTAGTAAAAAACTTCCACTGAAGCTCCGCTGGTGTCTGTGCTCTGTTCAGATCCCACAGTTTTTGCTGGACGACTACTTCAGGAACAGACAGTCCTGCAGGATCTTCTGCACTCAGCCCAGACGCCTGGCGGCCATCGCTGTGGCTGAGAGGGTGGCAGCGGAGAGGGGGGAGTGTGTGGGCCAGACTGTTGGCTACCACATCCGACTGGAGAGCAGGTACCGTATTTCCCCTATATAAGGCGCAGCACCAATGTAGCCCTGATACCTGGAGAGAGCATAGAGAGCAACATGTTCAGACACTCAGAGGAGCTAACAGCTGCTATAAGAGGAGCTAAGATGAGCTATGAGGAGTTAAGAGCTAGTAAGAGGAGCTAAGAGCTGCTAAGAGGAGCTAAGAGCTGCTAAGAGGAGTTAAGAGCTAGTAAGAGGAGTTAAGAGCTTCTAAGAGGAGCTTAAACAGCTTTAAAAGCCCCCCAAAACAGCTTTAAAGCCATAAAAAACGCTTTAAAAGTCCAAAACAGCTTAAAAAAAAAAACCCAAAACAGCTTTAAAAGCACCAAAACACCTTTCCCCTCTATCTCCTTCAGTCTCCACTGACTTTGACTGGGGGTTTTCCTCCAGAGAGCTGATTGTCAGACTGATAATAACTGTAAAATTGTGTCTACTTTGTAAGTCTCTTTGGATAAAAGTGTTTAAATGCATAACCATAAACCTCAGCTCAAATTTAAAAGAAAAGGAGTCACCTACTAACTTTGTTTTCTGTCTCAGGGTCTCCCCGAAGACTCTGCTGACCTTTTGCACGAGTGGAGTTCTGCTCAGGACTCTGATGGCCGGAGACGCGAGTCTGACCACAGTCACACACATCATTGTGGTGAGCATTACACATTCAGAGGGTAGAAGAAGGAAAGAAGGAAGGCCGGCTCAGTTTTTTCTCCTCTGAACGTTTCATGAAAACGTTTTAGTGTCCATCACGTCTGTAAAAGTCTGACATCTGGTTTTGAGGGAATTATAGAATACTTGTCACACCAAGTAGTAAAATAAAAACAACTAAGTCGTGCTGAGTGGGGTCTTATCCAGAGTTTTAGCTCTACTTTTTATTTAAGTTAAGATGGCTTATTAACCGTGTGAACACTTAAAATGATTGTTCAGGCATAAAATAGTTATTTGGTTAAGTTTATTTGAAAAATGGGGGGGGGGGGAATCTGGCTCGACCGGTTGGGGGTGAGAGAGAGAGAAGGCAAGAGACAGAAGGAGATGGAGGGAAAAAGAGAGAGAGGACGAGAGAAAGAGGACAAAGGGAGCAGAGAGAGAGTGGGGAGAGGGAGAGAGAAAGAGGGGGAGAAAGAGAGAGGGCAAGAGAGAGAGAGAGAAAGAAGGACAGAGGGAGCAGAGAGAGCGAGGGCAAGAGAGATAGATAGATAGATAGATAGATAGATAGATAGATAGATAGATAGATAGATAGATAGATAGATAGATAGATAGATAGATAGATAGATAGATAGAT